TACCAGGCACGGTGGCTCGCACCTGTAATCCCAGCGCTTTGGGAGGCCAAGGTGGGTGAATCACCTGAGGTCAGGAGTTTGAGACCAGCCTAGCCCACATGGTGAAACCCCATCTCTGTTAGAAATGCAAACATTAGCTGGGCATGGTGGCATGCACCTGTAGTCCCAGCTACTCTTGGGGCTGACACAGAAGAATTGCTTGAACCTGGAAGGTAGAGGTTGCAGTGAGCCGAGATCACACCACTGCACTCCAGCCTGGGCAACCGAGTGAGACTCCATCTCAAAAATAAATAAGATCAGATTATATGCAAAAAATAAGGTCAGGGTTACTCAGATCTTCTGCCCCTCATGCACACACTACCTACTATACCACACTACTTCACACAAATTAGCAGTCCTCATTTAACTTCTCACAAACCAATTTTTTTTCGTTGTTGTTAGAGACAGCATCTTCTTCTGTCACCCAAGCTGGAGTGCAGCAGTGTGACCATAGCTCACTGCAGCCTGAAACTCCTAGGCTCAAGCCATCCTCCCGCCTCAGCCTCCTGACCAGCTGGGCCCACAGGGGCATGCTACCATGCCTGGCTCAGGCCAGTTTTAAAGAGGAGAAAACTTATAGATCTAGAAGAAAAGCTGAGGTGTCTTCTCACAATTTGTGCATTTCCTCTTAGAAAAAAAAAATATGGTGGTCCATTTCAAAAATCTAGAGCTTTTGCCCTTGAATTACAGCACCGAAGTCACCTTATGATTGGTGACTAAGGTGCTAGGAGGCTCAGTGAAAACTTACCCTGCAGACAATGGATGTGGCTTCATGGCCAAACAGGTGCTCAAACTCTGAGTTTCCATTTTCTTCTATGCCTCAGTCAGCCCAGCTTTGCCCCTAATGTCTTATTCTTCAATTTCAGCTAGACATAGTCAGTACTGAAAACAAGTCACAGCTTTTGAGTTTTACTTAGTTTCAAAGACTATTTACTAGTATTGAGGAAAGATACTCATTTTGTGGAGCCTCCAAATCCCTGCTCCTTCAGTTTGACTATCTGGATTACATTAAAGATATAATGGATGCATAGAGACATCCAATGAACAGAGCATGTCACGCAAGTTATGTGTAAATTACATTTTTGGAACTTGGAATATATCTCCCCATAGGGAAATTGTATTGTGCTTTTTTTAAAGGCATGACTAAATGATGAAATAAATGGATAATAAAGTCAGAACACAAAAGCCTGTTAAGTGTGTTTTTAACCCATGATATACCTAAAGTATAATGCCAAGTTAGTATTTCAGATACATTTGGTTCTGGGCACTAACTGTGGTTTTTCATAGGAAGAGACATTTTTCCAAGTGGAAACACCTCTAGTGCCTAAGCAATGTAAGGGCAAGAGACCTAACATTTAGCTTCTGCAAAGCATTAAGGACACTGAGTCACAAAATGGTTAATAACATTTAGGGTGTATTAACACTACGCTCAAAGACATGGAGGTAATAAATGGCAGAGCCAGAATTTAAGCCGAGATTTATCTCAGCCTTTGCTGTTTCTACTAAGCTATCTCTGTAGATTTAAATTCCAAATATTCTGAACTGAGGACAACTTGTCTCCTCACTACCCTACCCCACTTCCTCAGGTACAGTAAGGGGCGAGATAAAGGATGGTGCTCCAGAACAGCAACCTCAAACCTGACCAGGCATCAGAATCACCTGGAAGGCTCATTAACTAAGATTGCTGGGCCCCATTTCTTGTGTTTCTAATTCAGTAGGTCTGAGTAGGTCTAAGTGGGGCTATTACTGACAAGCTCCCAGGTGATTCTAGTGCTGCTGGTCCAGGGACCATGCTTTGAGAACTCGTTAGGGCTTCCCTAATAAGACATCTCAACAAATAGCCAATCCTTGAAACAAACAATGATTTTCATAGCTGGTGACAAGAAATGATGAAATTCACTGAACTCTTGAAAAGCTGTAATTATGATTAGTACCTGAAAGGTGCCAGCAGGTCATGGAGAGACAATATAAAAAGAAGACAAATGTTCTCAGCAAGGTCACTCTTCATGCATAGATTTCATTTTCCACAAAGAAGAAAACAAGCAAACAGTACAGAAATCAGCAGGAAACATTGGGCTTTGAAGACAAAAGCAGTAATGGGGCATGGTGGCAACAGCATGATAACAACAAAACAATCGAGTTTACCCCATTTTTTTCCCAGTGCCTACAGGGAAGCTTAATCAGCCAACACGTATTTGTTGAGTTCTTACCGTGTGCTCAACAGGAGTGGGTAAAAGCATGGGGAATGGCTCTTGACCTCAACAAGTTACAGTGATGCCTCATTGATCAGTTTCTTGGGGAAGGAAGCATGCCACAAAGTGAAATTCCCAAATAAGTAAAGCTAACTCCTTAAAGCAATCAAATGTCATTTGAAGTATATTTTTTATTTAAAAAAAAAGTATTTCTGAAATCTATACCATTCTACCATTTTAAACAGAACACAAAAGCATGGGTTAAGTTTTTCTTGATGATTCTAGGTCAGCAGTACAGAACTCTCCCTTTAGAATGTTAAGTAATGACCATAGGATATTGAGGAAGTATGCTGCTGTTTACCCTACATTAAAAGAGCCCAAGTCTGGGCTTAGTATTTGGATATTCTACATCAATTGCCATCTTATCTCTGCCTTTATTGGTCCACCTTCTAATAGCTTCATTCACTTCTCATTTGCTGTTTCTTCTCTGCTATGGATTAAAAGCATCTAAAGTTTGTAAGAACCAAGCCTATGAGCAAAGGCCTGAGTATCTTACCTACAGATGGATTGAGTTTTAGGGGCTGGCCTTGGACATCTTATTCCTGACAAGTTCTCACATGATGCTGATGCTGCAGGTCAAGGAACCACACTTTGAAAACTTTTTAGAGCTTCCCTAAGGAGTCATCTCTGCAAATGCCAATATTTCTTTCCTTAGTGCAAGAAGCCAGTTTGAAGGCTTCTAAATATACCTTCACTTGGAGAGGATGTTTGGCCTAGCGGAAAGGATGCTTCCTTTCTCTTTCTGAACAAGCCCTGTTAGGGCCCTATTTTCATCTTCTGAAATTTTCTAAGTATTCAGTATAGAGTGATAGTCCCTGCCTCAAAACTTGTGTCACCTACTTATTGGATGGATACATCAATAAGGGTTGTATAAACGCATATAAATGATTGAGCACTCCCCATAAGCCAAGTGCTAAGTGGATGCTTTCATCTGTCATCTCCTCTAATCCTCATGCACACCTTATGAGCTGGGAATGAATAGACTGAAGTCCAAGCTCAGGAAGGGGAGTCAATGACCCACTCATTCAAGGTCATAGTAAGTGGCATAGGTGAGATTGCAACCCAAATCTTTAGGCCCGAGGCCAACACACTTTCCATTAGACCACAGCTACTGCCCCACTGAGAGCAAACTGAATGTTGGGGTGCAAGGAAAGATGTCAATTCGGTTTTTAAAAAGACAAATCCAGTCAGGTGCAGTGGCTCACGCCTGTGATCCTAGCACTTTGGGAGGCCAAGGAGAGTGGATCACCTGAGGTCAGGAGTTCCAGACCAGCCTGACCAACATGGAGAAACCTCGTCTCTACTAAAAATACAAAATTAGCTGGGCATGGTGGCACATACCTGTAATCCCAGCTACTTGGGAGGCCTAGGCAGGGGAATCCCTTGAACCCGGGAGGTGGAGGTTGCAGTGAGCCGAGATCACGCCATTGCACTCCAGCCTGGGCAACACGAATTAAACACTGTCTCAAAAAAAAAAAAAAAAAAGACAAATCCACAGCAAGCATGATGGCACCTCCACCCCACACCCAGAACCATGATAGGCAATGTTCTTTCCTGCTGCATATGAACATCCTCAGATCTTTTCCCTAGAAGCCAGAATGAATTAGTTAGAAGAGGCACAGAACACAAACCCACAGTCTTAGCTTCACTTATCTGGAAATTACACTTGGTGTTGTCTCAATGAGAAACATTTCACCAAGGGCCAGGTGTGGTGGCTCACGCCTGTAATCCCAATGCTTTGGGAGGCGGAGGCGGATGGATCACCTGAGGTCAGAAGTTTGAGACCAGCCTGGACAAAAATGGTGAAGCCCCGTCTCTACTAAAAATACAAAAATTAGCCAGGAGTGGTGGTGCATGCCTTTAATCCCAGTTCCTTGGGAAATTGAGGCAGGAGAATCTCTTAAACTCAGGGGAGTAGAAGTTGCAGTGAGCCAAGAAGACTGTGCTGCACTCTAGCCTGGGTGACAGAGCGAGACATCTGTCTCAAAACAAAACAAAAAAAAGAAACATTTCACTAAGAAAGTGGAAAAAAAATGGAATTTGAAAAGGCAGATAGGTAATGCTGGAGAAGGCAGACCTTCTGTAGAACTGACCAATTATACCTTATCCTATCCTGCACCAATGGTTCTCAACCAGGGGGCAATTTTGCCCCTTAAGTTGACATCTGGCAATGTCTGAAGATATTTTGGGTTGTCACAGCTTGGGAGTGCTGCTAGCATCCTCTGGGTAGAGTCCAGGGATGCTGCTAAACAGCCTGCAATGCACAGGACACTCGGCCTCCCCCTCAGCAAACTGTTAGACAGCCCAAGATGTCAGCAGCACCACGGTTGAGAAATTGTTTTACATTATAGCACATGTAAAGGAAGAAGCAGATCATGGTTCCTTACAGATGTTCGCTGCCTCTCTATCACGTTAGTAAAATAAAGTTAGGGAAGTGAAACCGTGGCTTTGGGTCTGTTTCTGGTTGCGCACACACAGACTGCAGAAGTCTCACTCATTTCAGTTACCACTGGCTGCAGAACTTTTTTGTTTTCTTCAAGCCCAGAAGACCTGAAGTAGCATGGATGCTACCCAATGTGGCCTGTGGCTCTGCTCACATAGTTTCTCCTTAATCAAAGAAAGACCACAGTGGGGATATTTACAAGGAAAGGGAAAGTGAAAGGATGAAGGGAGGAGAAGACCAGAATCACCAAGGAAAACTCCTCCTACCATCGTCTTTACAGTGAGCCTCCTTCTCCCTAATGTCAGGGTATTCTCACAATCCTTTGGCTCTGATTATTTAGTGACCTTGCCACTCTAAGTGTGGTGTCCAGTGCAGCAGAATTGGCAACACCTGGCATCTCCTTAGAACTATACAATCTCAGCCCTTTCCAGACCCTTGACTCAAAAATCTGCATTTTTAATAAGATGCCCACGTGATTTGTTGCATGCACATTTAACATTTGAGAAGCACTGCTCTAAGGTTTCCAAAAGGCAAAATAAAACTGCAAAGTGAACAGCTGCAAAACAGATGCAAAGTTAATCACGTGGGGTCACATAGACTCCTCCAGGGGGTTTATGGCTCTCTGTGGATGGTAGCTGGTAATACAGAAAACAGAAATTGGAAGGAGTATGTGAATGAAAGTAAATGCTGTGCTACAGGCTTTTGAGTGACCTAAAGGAACTGACTTTGGGTTAGAGGAAATGCTGTGCATATAGTCCCTGAAATAATTTCATGTACCCGATGGGATCATAAGAGCTTGGTGTTTTTGTTTGGGGGCTTGCTTGTTTTCATTAGGGAACAGAGAATTTATACCAGTCTTCCATGAAATAAGAGAGATCTATTTGATTAGTATTTCCAACATAGCACTCCACAATACCAACATTTGTAAGAAGAGTTGATGTTATAAGTTTTGAAATAACCTAGAAAATAGGTTAAGGCAACTGGGTCAGTTTCAATGTCAGGTCTGCTTTCAACGTAAGCAAATTGGCTTGATTTTGTTTATTCAACAAATATCAAGTCTTGGGATCTGTGCGAAGAACTTCAGGAAAGCAGCCACTCACAGCTGCAAACCCCTGCCATCGCGGCAGGCAGCCCTCGACAATGGAGGTGGGAAGGGGAACAGACCTGAGGAAGAGGAGGGTAGGGCGAGGGCTCAGCTGCAGGAAGGAGCAGCTGTTCTGTGTGCACTTCTGGGTTAGGAAGCTGGGCTCGCTGCAGATCTCGGCCTGGTCATGAACCCTGGACCTGAGCTGCGTTGCGTACAGGTTCAGTCTGACTCACACACTCACCTGCATGGCGGAACATAACTCTGCCTGGTGAAGGTTTTCAGAGAACAACGTCATAAAGTCCTGCTGCCTCCTGCTCAGGGCTCAGGAGCAGTGCCTCAGCCAACGGTGAACAAGCCCCACAAGTCCCACTAGTCTGACTCTGGGGACCATGTCGAGAAGCAGCCGCTAGAGGCTGCACTTGGTTTCATTGTGGAAGAAGAAAAATGGCCTGAGCAAATCTGCAGCTGGCTTTCATCAGCCCGGAACACCCTGTTCTTTCCTCTCATCCTCCTGCCCCACTGGGCTCTCTGCACAGCCCTGCAGGAAATCACAGGCAAGCCTGGAAGTTAGAGCACCCCAGGGCCCCTAAGTCACCAAGGGAGGGCTGGATGTGCCAGGTGGCCTCCTATGGGGGACTGGCTGGGGCAGAAAGTTTTGGTTCTCTGAGAAGAGACAACTGTCCTCTTACTTGACTAGGATTCTGAAGCCCAGAGAACTGATTCAGAGAGAGTGCGACTGAGCGAGACGGAGACAAAATGGACTCAAATGCTGTCCAAATATTCAGTGTTCAGTGAAGCAGCTTTTGTCACAGTGAGGTACCTGAGGCAGGACTGCTCCCCGGGACAGTGAGTGGTTTGACTCTGCAAGGGGAGCCGAGTGGAGAGAAATCAGCCAAACAGAAAAATGAAGCAGAAGTTTCTAGAGGCTGCCCCACCTAGAAGAGGAGGGTTCAGAGGTACCTGAACTCTTAAGGTCACTGGACATTTTTAACTGGGTGAGGACTCAGACAGATTGATAACAAGGCAAGCAGGAGAAAGTGGCTCCTGAAGTGCTTCTTGAGAAATGTGAGCCAACGCATCACAATCAGGCCCATGCCTGAGAGAGGCTGGCATTGCTGTAGGGAAGGGGTATGACCCGCCGTTTGGGAGCACCTATTCCCCGCCCCAGCTCGCTCGGTGTTTAGTACTTTCTATGTTCCATTGTTCAGTGACCTCACAGCCCAGTGGGGCAAATATAAATATCCCCATTTTCCTAATGTGGAAAGTGGGACTGGAAGATGTTAAGTAACTTGCCAGGGTCAGCTTGGTAACAAAGTGATAGAGCTACGATACGTGTTCATTTGATTTGGTTTGTAAGTAGGTAATATAGTCATATGATTCAAAAATGAAAACTGTAGAAAGGGGGCCAGGTGTGGTGGCTCATGCCTGTAATCCCAGCTTTAGGAAGCCAAGGAGGGTGGATCACCTGAGGTCAGGAGTTCAAGACCAGCATGGCCAACATGGTGAAATCCTGTCTCTATTAAAAATACGAAAATTAGCTGGGCATGGTGGTATACACCTATAATCCCAGCTACTTGGGAGCCTGAGGCAGGAGAATCACTTGAACCCTGGAGGTTGCAGTGAGCCAAGATTGCACCACTGCTTTCCAGCCTGGGCAACAGAGTGAGACAACACAATACAAAGTCTCCTGTCCCACTGACCCCCAGTTTCCCCCACCTGTCTCCTTGCCACAAACACAGGTAACCACCATTGGTTCCTTGTATACTTTTAGCATTTCTTATGCATATTCCAGTTAATAGAGTACAAAGTCTTATTTTTTCTCCATTTTTACACAAAACATGGCATACTCTGCATACTGTTCCATGCCTTGCTTATTTTTTCTTTCAGCACATAAAGAGCTTGAGATCAACAAAATATTTTGAGGTCTTTTCATACCAGCACATAAACAGCTTCCTCATTCTTTTCATTTTGCAGCTGCACAATATTCCATTGTATAGACATACCATAATTTAATCGCACATTCTTCCATTGGTGGACATAGGGTTGTTTCCTGTCTTTTGCTACTATAAACAATGTTGCAATGAATAACCTTGTGCCAGCGTCATCATGCATATGCCAGAGCCAGGAGCCCACATCTCTCTGGATCTAAATAGTTTATGTCCCCTCCACTCCAAAGCTGACACAGGGCTGGTCATATGCCAGCTCTGGTAGCTTAATGCTCATATCTCTGTCCCCACCCCCACCCTCTATCTTCCTATTTTCTTTTCCTGTCTATTCATATTTGAAACAACTACAGAAAGTCCAGGCAGAGAGTTCTTGCCATTTTATCTCTTTCTGTGGTTGCTTTGCTTCATTCTTTAAATACCAAGTCTGGCTGTAACCGGGTTATGCTGGAGACAAAAATCTACAGATGTTCTTCCGCATAAACACGGAATTCCAGCTACCAGTTGGATCATAATGTTTTATCCACGTGCCAGGGAAGTTCAAATCCTGCAGACTGTAGCCCACAACAGGCTTGGATCCCAGCTTAGAACTAGAAAAAGACCTGCTAGATGCAGCCTGCTGCTATGGAAGCCAGCATGTGTCTCCATTTCTGGCTGTTGACCTAGAGGGACATTAAATGAATAGAGACAACATTAGGCAGTCCCAAGGAAGTCTATCTCTGGGAAAGAGAAGACCCATCACCCACACTTTCATCCTCGTCATCCGTGGTCATTTTGTCATCTATATTTATACCTAGATTTTCAGATTCACCTTTCCAGCTTTTTATCCCTCAAAAGAGGATTTGGCAATTTGAGAACACTAAGAAAAATAACTAAATAATACTGAACATAGGTTGTTTTTAGACATGTGATTCTGACTGTCACCTGCATGGTGGCCTGAGAGTTGGGTCCACTCTCTCTTGGAGGTACTTCCATTGGACTCCTCTTTCCTAAGCACTTACTGCATACCAGTTGCTCTGCTGATGAAGGCTGTAAGGCCCAGGTGTTTCTCTCTAAGTGAAGATTCAGACACATGCCAAATATTTTCAATGCAGAAAGAGAGATCACTTCATAGTAATACGGGCTATGATATAGGTAGAGAAGCATGCCTGGGGTCTCCTTGAGAGGGGTACTTTGCTAAGAGTGAGGGGAGAGAGGAGGAGGAGCAGCCAGTTCAGGGAGGCTTAAGATGCTTGCATAAGCCCTGAGGAGCAAGCAGGAGGTGCTCAGGCAGAAAAGGTAAACAGCATGGGCCAGAGGAAGGAAATAGTCACCAAAATGTAACTTATTTTTCTAAACACGGGAAAAATGAAATAGCAAACCAGTAGCCCACATGAAGCAAGTTCCAAGAGGGAAAATGGAGACAAATATTCCTTAAATATCAGCCGTTCCTCTGATCTTTTAGACAGTCTTCAGTAAGAAGCTCACCCTGATCCTCTCCACCAACCTTGGGAATACTTTAGCAGACAGGGTTCCAGGCAAGCTTCCTGCAACAAACTCAGCCCTTCTGTCTCTTATCTCTGACCTATGACTGTTTTCTGCTAATTGACAAGGAAGGCCTGAGCTTGCGTTTTTTACAACTGCCACCAGCACTCAGAACTCATATCATCCCTCTATCTTTCCTTCCAGCTGTTGACTATCAAAAGACAAGTGAGTAGCCTTCTGGAATCCTATAGGACAGTCCATTTCCACGAAGAATGGGGACACCGTGGAAAGACTGCAAAGCCCAAATCACTGTGTAAATATAACCTGCCAGTGTTGCCATCAGAATAACAATCACCGTTGTATCTCCAGGTATTCATTCATCTGCCAGATGTGGTTGAAAATTAATACATCAGAGATTCTCTTTAAAATGTGGTCTTTGGTTGGTAACCCTAGCACTTTGGGAGGCAGAGGCAGCAGGATCACTTCAGCCCAAGAGTTCAAGACCAGCCTGGGCAACATAACAAGACCTCATCTCTACAAAACATTTTTTAAAAATTAGCTGGGCTTGATGATATGCACCTGTAGTCCCAGCTACTCAGGAGGCTGAGATGGGAGGATCACTTGAGCCCAGGAGGTTGTGGCTTCACTGACCATGATTGCACCACTGCACTTCAGCCTGGATGACAGAGCCAGACCCTGTCTCAAAAAATTTTTTTAAAAAGTTCAAGGTGGTCTTACAGATTATCTTTTAATAATAATAACACCAGTAAGAATACTTAACATTTATTTAAAGCTTAGTATGTTCCAGATATTGTCCTAAGCTCCTTAAATATTTTATTTGTTTTAATCCCAAGACTTCCTTCTTAAAGCCTGACATGTTGCCTCATTAAGATTCAAGTGTCCTTGGGTTCAAATCCCAGCTCTGACCAGCTACTATTTTGATAATGTCTCTGAAACTCAGCTTCCTTTTCTATGACGTGGGGATAGTAATACCTTCCCTAGTAAAGGAAATCATCTAGACTAAAGCACCTGACACAAATAGGCTCACAGTGAATCTTAGTTACCTTCCCTAACAGCCATTTTTGTTAAAAATGCTTCTATTTTCAAATAATTTAAGATTACATCTTTCAGATGTAATTAAATGTTTTAATAAACATAGAAATCAATTATTATATTACATAATTCCTCCAAATAACAGGAGGAAAATCTATTGAATGTGTTCATCTTCTGTGGTCCGTATTTCTTAAATAAGTCTATGAATATAAGGAAAGAAACATACATGCACACGCCTAAGGACCAGTTAAGGAAATGTTTCCTAATCGGGACTCTACCCACTCAGGGCTCCCTGCCCCACACTGTATGAAATCATCAGAAAAGGAAAGAGATGCCTGGGCCCTGAGATTCTGTCCAATTTTAGCTCTAGGTGTTAGAGTCATGTGGAAGTGGCAGGTTTTTGAAATGCTGACATGCTGACACTCAAGCGCATGGCTGGTTCCTGTTATAGCTCAGAGAAAGTATATAAAGAAGTTGGCCCAAGGTGAGATTTCAGAATATGAAATGATGCCCAGCATGACGTAAGTGGTGAGGCTTGAGGACAGAAAGGTTGGGGTTTGAATCCCAGCTTCACACTTTCTTGCGTGTGACCTTGGACAGGGAGAATAATGTATTGTCACTGTATAGTCCATCTCTGCTCACCTGCAAAATGAGGTAAGAGCACCCTCTTCACAGCATTACCGTGCTCAACAAATGTGCATTCTCCTCTCCTTTGTGGTCAAAGGCTTGGTCCATTTGAATCTGTAGAGACTCCCAACTCAGTGCAGCTGCAACCACGAAGCCCTAGTCAATTGCTAGAAATGTACCTGCATGCACTGTTTTGTGGGCTTTTTCAAAGGGATCTGCTTTGGGATGATTTCCAGACTCTGCAGCATGTATCTGCCCATGTGGAGGATGTTTCCCGTCTCAGCTCTTACTCCAACAATTTTACCTTAGCTGGCATCTAGCTCATGGGCCACATCTAGCTCACCCCACTGTGCTCTCTGCTTCCAACGTCCTTTTCCTTTCTAAAGGCAATAATGGGCTTTAGGCTTTCTGGAAAATGCTTCCATCTCCAACTGAAACTGTCCTGGTCCCTTTAGTGCCCATGCTTGGGACTCTCAGTCTCTATTTCCTACCTCTCAGCCTTTGCTCATTCTCTTGCACTTCCTGAGGCATTTCCCTCTCCTTTCAATGACTGTCTAGATTTCTCATTCTCTTTGTGTTGCTTTTCCTTTGCTGCCTCTTGGGGGACAAGGTTAAAACCCCACTCACTCCTTTTTCCATTGCTCATTCTGCTATTTTCATTCCCTCATCCTTTCTCTCAAAGCAATACAAGAAAGAAGTGCCTTGAAAACACCTCGCAAATGCTCAACTGGATCTGTAGCCACCTTTGTGTTTTACACAAATGAATATGCAAACATCAAACCTAATAATGGAATTACTAGTATTAAAGATTTCAGGCTGGGCACAGTGGCTCACCTCTGTAATCCCAGCACTTTGGGAGGCCAAGACAGGTGGATCACTTGAGGTCAGGAGTTCGAGATCATCCTGGCCCACATGGTGAAACCCTGTCTCTACTAAAAATACAAAAATTAGCCGGGCGTGGTGGCATGTGCCTGTGTTCTCAGCTACTCAGGAGGCTGAGGTGGAAGAATTACTTGAACCCAGGAGGCAGAGGTTGCTCTGAGCCGAGATTTTGCACTCCAGCCTGGTGACAGAGCAAGACTCCGTCTCAAAAAAAGAAATGTGATGCCCATCTGTGCAATGCCTCCCAGGAGTCATACAGCATGATCCTTTTTCTCGGTCTTAGTTCTTAATCAGTGTCTTTGACTCCTTCTTTATGCTTCATTTCATCCAGGCCCAAGATTATATCTACAGGAATAAGGATCCACAAGGAAGTAGTATGATGCTACAAACAAGCTTTATGAAACCTGGGATTTAGCAACTGGAGTAAGAGAGGTTACATTCAGTTTATTTTGAATGACCAGAAGCTGATTCTTCTGCTTTCATCGTCTAATAAGTCCTGAGTTAGGAAGCCTTTCACTTTCCTATTCTCAAGGGCAAGAGTGAAGGGTTTTAGATGATTATTAGAAAATGTGCTGATGCATCCTTAAAGAAAAGAACTTTACACAAGAACAGAAAATGAAATACCGCATGTTCTCACTCATAGGCGGGTGATGAACAATGAGAACACATGGACACAGGGAGGGGAGCAGTACATACTCGGGTCTATTGGGGGGAATAGGGGAGGGACAGCGGGGGGAGGGATAGCATGGGGAGAAATGCCAGATGTGGGTGAAGGGGAGGAAGGCAGCAAATCACACTGCCACGTGTGTACCTATGCAACTATCTTGCATGTTCTGCACATGTACCCCAAAACCTAAAATGCAATAAATAAATAAATAAAAAGAAAATTGTAGAATAATGTGCCCCCTTACTGCAATTCATGCAATATATCCTATTTTATATGGTGAATCCCCAAATGAATAAAATGAATTGTGCTTCTTCTAATGCTGTTTTCTGGAAGACAGGAAATGTATGTGTGGCAGGGGCAGAAATTTAGTGTTGCTTCCATTGACTGAATCTTATTTTTTATTTATATACTCCTACAATCTTAGGTTGAAATGTTATTTCTGTAAGTTTGTCTATATGATGACCCAAGATGTCACCTCTGATGTTTCATGAACCACTTTATTTCCTGAGTTTTAAAGTGTCTGTATTTTTGGCAGGTATAGAGAGACATGGTTTTCTGCTGATACTGAGAATTCTGTGCATACCAGGATGCCTACATTAAATTCAGCCTCTTTCTAAAGTTAAAAAAAAAAGAACTTTCAACCCAGAATTTCATATTCGACAAAACTAAGCTTCATAAGTGAAGGAGAAATAAAATCTTTTATGGACAAGCAATTGCTGAGAGATTTCATTATCACCAGACCTGCCTTACGAGAGCTCCTGAAGGAAGCATTAAACATGGAAAGGAACAACCAGTACAAGCCATTGCAAAAACATACTGAATGGTGAAGACCAACGAGGCAATGAAGAAACCAAATGCCCATCAATGATAGACTGGTCAAAGAAAATGTGGCACATTATACACTATGCAATACTATGCAGCCATAAAGAACAATGAGTTCATGTCCTTTTTAGAGACATGGATGAATCTAGAAACCATCATTCTCAGCAAACTGACACAAGAGCAGAAAATCAAACACCGCATGTCTTCACTCATAGGCAGGTGGTGAACAATGAGAACAACTTGGGCACAGAGAAGAGAACACTCACTGGGGTGGGCAAGGGAATGGAGGGGAGGGGAGGGGAGGGACAGCAGGGGGTGAGGAGGATGGGGAGGGATAACACCGATAGAAATGCCTGATGTAGGCAACGTGGGGTTGGAGACAGCAACCCACCATGGCATGTATGTACGTATGCAACAATCCTGCAGGATGCAGGTTGTGCACATGTACCCCAGAGACCAAAGTACAATAGAAAAAAAGAAAAGAAAATGTGTTGATGGACTGGATGCGGTGGCTCATGCCTGTAATCCCAGCACTTTGGGAGGCCAAGCCGGGCCAATCCCTTGAGCCCAGGAATTCGAGACTGAACTGGGCAACATGGCAAAACCTCGTCTCAACTAAAAATGTAAAATTAGCCGGGCATGGTGGTGCATGCCTGTAATCCCAGCTACAGGAGGATCACCTGACCCCGGGAGATCAAGGTTGCAGAGAGCCATGTTTGTGCCACTGCACCGTAGCCTGTGCTACAAAGTGAGATTCTGTCTCAAAAAAAATGAAAAGAAAAAGAAAAGGTGTTAGTGCATCTAGGACTAGCCTTACCAATAAGATTGTGCATGGACAGGCCAGCCACTTTGAAGGAATGAAGTCAGGGTGGACACTGCTTGATTTCATTTGGGTTGCCTTGAACCACCCTTCAGATTAAATACCTACTGTGACCTTGACTCACACCTAGAGTCTTTGTACTCTAACTAGTTATATTGCCTCTAGTCCTTCCTTGTAATTACTGGACCCTAAAACCCACCATTTTTCCACACTCTATCCCAAGAACAGTGTTCTCACTCAGCTTGCCTCCCAAGTGGGACCATGACACCAATCACAAAACACACACACACATCCGACCACAAACACACACACACACACACACTTCCCTCTTTCTCCTCTGAGTCCCTTGTACCAGCATCGATAGCTGTTTCATTCACTTTGTACTTAAATACTGCCTTGTGACAGTCTTCCATTGTTAAATCAAACTTATTTATGGGCTGTTGTGCTCCTTACCTTGTGACAAGACTATCATGATAACCTTCCCGTCCTCCACAGTGCCAACACAGCATTCTTTGCACATGGCAAGTAATTGATGGACATTTGTGGCTAGTCACCTATTCATCTGATGAATGACTCTCTGGCTCCACTGGATTTGGCCTCTCATCTTTCAGAGAGGGTCTGGCAGTCTCTAAAGAGGTAGCTGACACTCAAAAAAAAAAAAAAAAAAAAAGATGCAACTAATGCTTTAGGGCTCCTGTCATCTGGGGGAGGCGAGAGCCTGATGGCAGAGCCTTCACAAGAGTAACTTCCTGTTTCAGAAGGTAGGCACGGTGTACCAGGAGGCTGAAAGAAGCAAGGCTACAGAAACAAGAGAAGAAAACAGGAAAGGGAAGATAAAGTTTTCTTTTTTGAAAGAAAACTCCAAAATATTTACTCAGACAGGCCTCCTCTCTTATCCTAGAGACCAGAAGGGAAGTTACTCCTCCCTTTGGAAAACAGGATTCCAGAGTGGGGAGAAACCCATGGCCTCGGCACAAAGTTCGGCAAGGCCTAAATGTGCTCTGTGTAGAAGCCCTAACACGCTGAAGGTTGCCTACAAAGGGCGAATGAATGAGAGAGACAGAGAGAGAGAGAGAGAGAGAGAGAGAGTGTGTGTGTGTGTGACAGAGTAAGAGATTAGCAAGTATTCTCTAAATAGGTCATAGGTCATAAACTTCCAGCTTTTAGACAAGTTTGATTTCCCTGGAAAATTATAATAATAATGTTAGAAATTGGCTGGGCACAGTGGTTCATGCCTGTAATCCCAGCACTTTGGGAGGCCAAGGCGGTTGGGTCACGAGGTCAGGAGATCGAGGCCAACCTGGCCAACACAGTGAAATCCTGTCTCCACTAAAAATACAAAAAATTAGCTGGGCATGGTGTCAGGTGCCTGTAATCCCAGCTACTTGGGAGGCTGAGGCAGGAGAATTGCTTGAACCTGGGAGGCGGAGATTGCAGTGAGCTGAGATCATGCCACTGCACTCCAGCCTGGGGACAGAGGGAAACTCCATCTCAAAAATAAAAAATAATGTTAGAAACTGCAAACATTTGTTCTTTTTATGTGCAAGATACAGTTATAAATGCTTTACATGTATTAATTCATTTTATCTGTACAATTCTTTGATGTTGATTTTTTTATTACCTTCATTTTGCAAATGAGAAACTTTAAACACAGAGAGTTTAAGTGACTTCCTCAAGGTCATACAGCTGAGTGGTGAACCTGGGAATATGTTGGGAAAGATATGGAAATTAAAGTCAGAGAAATTTGGATTGGAACCTTGGCCCTATCATCTATTAACTGTGCGACCTTTTGCAAGTTATTGAAACTCCCTGAATCACATTTGCCTCATTAGAAAAATCAAGTTAAGTGTATCTACATCATAGGGTTGTTGTGAAAGTTGGATGAGTCTTGGGACTTTGCGTTTCTTGTAGTTGGAAGAACTTGTCATTTAGCCCAATTCTCCTGCTGAAAATCACTAAGCATGCTGGAGAATTCCCTTTTAATATTCATAAAAGCATCAAATTGCTGACAAGATAATAAGAAATTCCAGCCTCAAGTCTAAGAGAAAGCAAGAACCCATAGAAGTAAGTGGAACATCAAAGCCACCTTTCCTGTGAAGGCATTTGTCCGTCTGAATTCTCCAACCTGCAAAACTGAGGGGTGGTTTTGATGGATTCTGGAAGCAAGAACACAGAAGTCAGGGCTAGGGATTACCAGGGGTTCCACAGTCACCTCAAGTCTGTGTGAACCAGAAGTAAACTGCCCCCTCCGACAATACCCCATGGGATGATAGAAAGTGAGGTCTTGGCCACAATCAGAGCCAGGGAGAAAGAAAAGAAAAAATACCTATCTCTAAGAGGTTATAACCACGGGCTAGCATTTTTTCTGATTTGGAGCCCAAGTCTGCATCTCTGGTGTGGTTCAAAAACTCAAGCTATATATTTAAAATAGTACTGCGTAGAGAGAACGATGAGAACACAGAAGAGGTTGGGAGAGCCACTGAGGTAGACACAATTTGTATACCATGTTCCAGCCACACTGAAATGCCCTCAATCCTTCGCATAAACGCCCACGCATACCTTCTCTTCTTTGTACCATTGTTCCTTCCATTGTCAGCCATATGATCTCTGGAGTCATATGGCACAGGTTCATATTCTGACTCTGGGTGACTTTGGGCAAGTCACTTAAATCTCATTATTTTCCTCATCTGAAAAGTTGGGGACAATTACAGTACCTCCTTATGGTTTATTGAGAGGATCAAATGAGTGAATGCATACAGAAGGCTTAGTAGAATGTCTGGCACATAGGAGGTAATTATATAGTGATAGTGGTGGTACTGATGATGGTGGTGGTGATGATGATTTTCTCAAATGATCATGTATCCCTTATTTGGCAAGTTTTATTAATTGTTCATAATTCAGGTGAAATATGACCTCTTCAGACTGGGTGTGGTGGCTCACACTTGTAATCCCAGCACTTTGGGAGGCTGAGGTGGGAGGATAACTTGAGGTCAGGAGTTTGAGACCAGCCTGGCCAACATAGTGAAAACCCATCTTTACCAAAAATACAGAAATTAGCTAGGTGTGGTGGCATACACCTGTATTCCCAGCTACTCAGGAGGCTGAGGTGGGAGAATCGCTTGAACCTGTGAGGTGGAAGTTGCAGTGAGCTGTGATTGTGCCACTGTACTCCAGATTGGGCAACACAGTGAGACCCTGTCTCAAAAGAAAAAAAAAATACCAGCCAGGTGAGTAGCTCATGCTGGTATTCCCAGCACTTTGGGAGGCTGTGGTGGGCAGATCACTTGAGGTCGGGAGTTTGAGACCAGCCTGACCCACATGGATAAACCCCATCTCTACTAAAAATACAAAAATTAGCTAGGCGTAGTGGTGCATTTCAGGAGG